CTTACGTTGTCATGTTGTAGTTCCTTTATGTGGACAGGGTGGTGCATGCAGCCAACAGTGTTCCTTGTGCTTTCCCTTCTTTCAGAGGATGGGAAACAAGTAATCTTAGGGCCTGGGAGTTGTCTGAGATGACAGATGGAGGCTTTGGTCGGGGGGCGGTGGTCGGGCCATATGTGTCGTCCGTTGACCGTACTAATCCGTCTACTTCTGTCCGGCCTCAGGTATTTATTTTTCAAATTCGTTTTGGCTGTTTTCATTTTTCATTTGGGGTCGTCTAGTTGACTATGCAGTGGTACTTTATTGTTTTTTTTTTTAAATGGTAGCAAAATTTTTTCTAGTGGTGTCGTATGTTACTATTCTTGTTTGTATTTTATTATCGTTGCACATAATTTATATTCTCCTTATGTTGTTTATTATTATGGAATATTATACTCTCTTTCTTTTTTGGAATTTATACCATATAGCAGTTCGTGCAATTCTGTGTCACAGCTTGTGCATGTCTTATTCTTCGTTATTTTCTCATTTTTTTAAGTTTGTGCGTTCTATTTCTGCGGTCTGTGCTCTAGCATTCATAGTTCCATTTTCATTTTTTGTGGTGTCGTATGCAGTGGTATTTTATTGTTGGTTTTTTATTTTCGTTTCATGTTATTAATATTCTGCTTATGTTGTTTATTAATATGGAATATTATTCTTTTAATTTTGATTTTATTCCATATATCACTTTGTGCATTTCTGTGTCAGGCCTTGTGCATGTATTAGCCTCCTTTATTTTCTATTCATTTTATGTGTGTGCGTTTTATTACAGCGGTCTGTGCTCTAGCATTCATAGCCCTCTTTTCGTATGTTTTTAAATATAGTTATTAGTTATCTATTATATAGTGGGTTTTTTGTTGAATGCAGACGCCCGATGAAATCTTTAATGAAAAGGCCTGCTAGGTGTAGCCTTGGATGATATCCTCCAGTTTCTTCATCAACACCCGTGTTGCTCCACTCGTACAGATAGTTTCACGCGGGTTGTTTCTGTTGCACAGAGGATACTTTCCTTGTCCGAGACCCCTGCACTAGCAGTGACGGTTGACCATACTCACAACGACGATGAAATTTGGAACAATCCGGATAATTTACAGGCTGTTGATGAAGTGGTTTTGGCTGTTCAGCAGCAGACCGCAGTTCAAGAATCTTCCAAAATCAATCAATCCCCGAGCGTTGAGACCCAAGGCTGTGATGAGGTTGCTACTGTTGCGCATGAAAACAAAGACGGTTCTTTGCCAGACCCATCGGGGGGTCCTTTGTCGGACTCCCAACTTCCAGTAAGTATGATACTCTACAAGCGCAAGAAAGTTAGGCGCTTGTAGGATCTTTGTGTTTGGTGTATGTAATTCTTTTGTTCCCCGATCAGACTAGTTACGCATTTTGTAGGGTATGCTGGCATCATTGTGTACTGGTGTGATGCGTAGTTCGTTTAGGTGTTTGTTAAGGCCTTCTTTTATGTTTTTTGTTCAATCAATTTGGATGGTGTACACTGTAATACAATTGCTGTCAATTCAATGTGTTAGTATGAGGGGTTTTTATGGTTTCACGCACAAACGCCGTTATTCATACGCACACACTTTATTTTTATATAACTTCTTACTGCATTCTCTAGGGGGTTGCTGAATTACCTTCATTCAGTTTGGGATTGACGCAAGACCTGCCTACTCAATGTTGGGATGTGGTGGATGCAATTGTGCGTAATTACGATGGAGTCCCACCCACTATTGCATCTCGGGATTGTCGTTCTGCCCCTGGTGATGCAGTAAGTATTGTTTTGTACCGTAGATGAAACTTTGTTAATTATCCTTTGTGTATAATATTGTTACGTATACAACTCGTTGCTATTTTTTATTGATTCCTAATTTGCATTCTAATTATTCCATCTGCCCGAGTTTTCTAGGTGCGTGCAACCAAACACCATCTCTCGTGTGCCCCCAAAGCTTCATCGGCTGGGAAGGTCAATCACAGACTAGTGGGGTTGAAACGTCCACGTGTAGTTGAAAGTAATGCGGGTCACGAAGTATTTTATACTCCCGAGGAGCTATTCATCCGTGAATTATTCACTTTTCACTTATTCCAGTAAACTTCTTAATCATATTTTGTATTTTTTCTTTTGTTCCTTTTTGTAGCAAGTTGTCCCATTTGATCCACCTTTGGGCACGACTATTGGTCCACCAAACTGTCCGGCACCTTCTAAATATTCGCGTCCTGGGCCGATTAATGTCGGTGCATTGCGCACCATGGACTTGAATTCGTATGCACCCGTCACGCGTGCACGTGCAGTCAATAACCAGCCTTCGCGTAATCCTGAGTCACAAGCAGCTTATGAACGGATTGCTAGTTCATTAAATGCTGACATGTACATTTACACGTTATAATGAATTTCGTACGTGGTTTTACGCATATCCGTATGCATATTTAATGGTGTTTTAATTTCAGGACTGTCGAAGTATTCAATTTTTGCGGTCGCTCCGCTCGTAGGGAGGATCTTGTTTCACTGCTGGAAGGACATACAGTTCTCGTGGGTGTTTTGAATGTCTGGGCATGCATTTTAAATTTTCGAGAAAGGTCTAAGCCGGTTGACGCTCCAAAACGGTTATTTGCATCACCCACAACCACGGTTCGTTGCTAGTCTCTTTGCAACCACGGTTTGGCACTGTAGTTAATTCTTTCCTGTGCTTCCGAATTCACGTGTCTTACTTTGTGTGTGTAGTTGTATTCGGCTGTTCAAATTTCATCCTCTTGGTCACAACGGTTGGGTTGGTTCAAGTCTGGGTTAGAGGCTGATCTGCAGGTATCTCCGTATAAGTCGTGGGGTGAAATTGACATGGTCAGTTTTTCTGCTATACAAAGTTTTTTCATTCACTCCTTCATGGGTGCTATACAAATTATTTTTCGTTCACTCCTTCATGGGTTTTAATTCTGCATATGTGTTGTTATTGTTCATATTTTTACCCCTGGCTTTCTACAGTTTCTATTCCCAATTCTCGAGCATGGTCATTACTATGAGATAACTCATCCGTGGACGGGGCATCTTTGGCTAAATATGGGGCGACCCCTGAAGTGTTGGTATGTATATGTTCCACTTGTACTATTTCTTAGTGGATTTTAATGTTATCGATTTAATATTTACTTTTTGCCATTTTTTTGACTTTTGGTTTTGTTTCTACAATTTGTGTAGAAGGATTTGTTATCTGTTCTTTTTGAGGATGATGGGGCTCAACACCTCTATGTTAAGGTGTTGCACTTGATTCCTAGGAGACTCCGTATGTCATGGCGCGACACAAAAAATAAGTTCGATTGTGGGGTGTTTGCTATGCGTCACTTAGAGACATACGTAGGCGAGTCAATGACTTCATGGGATTGTGGATTAATTAGGGGATATGCCCGTGGCTTGCTTAAATTACGTGTGCGCTATGTTCATGAGATTCTTTTGTTTCCTAGCAACGTACATCGAGGTTTGATTGTCACCAGTGTGGGGCGTTCTCGTTGAAGTTGTGGACGTGTTCTATCATGTTTTTTATAGCTGCATGTTTTGATTTTTGAAAACATTTGACTATTTGGATAGTTTTTCGCGTGGATTATTTGTTTCGTTTTGAATGATATTTAGTTTGGTACATTATCTAACGTTTTAAGATTTTATACTCAGCGAATAATCTGTTTCAGTCCATAGTACTATCGTTTTTGTTTCGGCCGTTACTGTCTTTTACGCACAAGCCATCGCACGCTAACGCACAGACCTATGTCTTTGCACGCACAGAGCTGCGTTATTTTACGCACAAGCCATGGCACGTGTCCGGACAAACCTGTCATTGCATGCATAGAGCTTTGTTAATTTACGCACAAGGTATCACCATTTGGTGTATCTTCCGCCAATGATAATTATTTTATTTCCAATCTTTTCATTAATATTTTTTTTAACTTTTTTTTTAATTTTTAACAATCTACTAATATTATTTCTCACACGGCTGCTCCCATATAAGCATAGATCCCCGATCGCTACTAGTATGGTCCGCTATACTAAAAATTACTATATGTAAGATAATAACACCCTTACTTGTATGGTGCACAATTTCTATACTCAAACACAACCACAAATAAAATAGTTCAACACATTGTAGCCAGCTATTTCAACTTTAATAAAAATACCATTCCAAAATTAAATGTTCTGTAGCACTTTCAAATATTTCAACACTAACAGAAATACCATCCTTATGTTACGTATCTAGTAATGTTATGTATCTAGTACATCGGCTTTACTTCTGTGGGCAGCTTCGGCTATTATGGCCAGCCGCCAACCCGCATGTTTTGCAAGTACGCTTCTTTTTGAATTGCTCAATAATTGCCACCTCATTGGCTGATTTCATTCGCTTGCCAGACCCTTTGGTCTTCGTGACTGCGGGGGGGGGGGGGGGGGGGGCGGGGGGGGGGGGGGGAACTTTAATCGTGTCTGGCTCTGGAACTCCACAATATTCTTCCATAACTGCCCGTTTCGCGTTCCCTTCTGCCCTATTGACTTCTTTATCGCACAGTGTTGCTTCCAATTCTTCAATCACATTTGTAATTTGTTGCATTTTTTCACCATTACCTCTAGCCATGCCTAAACATCTGTAAATTGTGTTTATAACTTTCCCTTCCTCGGTGGTATTATGTGCGTTGTTGTTCGCCCCTATTTGTCTCCATACTCCCGTACCTTTTTCTATATGTTTCACCGCCTCTTTGGTCCATCTTGGAGTAATATGTTGTGGAGGTATGTGGTCGATCCGTTAATCTTTTAATACTACAAATACATGTCGACATAGCAGCCCGATCCTTGTGTCTAATCAACATGTGCAGCTTGTATTATTGCTCCCATCCTCAACTATGACGGTGTATCTTTTATTGGTCCCGTCTTCGACCACATATGTCTTCACCCCCTCAACTTCGGTGTACGATCTCACCCGTCATGTAGATCAACCCGCACATATTTATTTTTGTACATCAGAGAAAACAGGCAATGTGTACACCGTTGCTGCTTCTCGCTCTATGCGCAAGAGGGTCTTGAGAGGCGGTGTTTGCCCGTTGCAAGCTGCGCTAAGTTCCAGATGCTTGTCGCGTTGTTTCCGAACTGCACTTTCAAAACGTTTGAAGAATTCAACAAGACATAAATGCTTATTAGTATTACTCTGAAAAATTCTGTACTCAGCTTCTGAACGTGAAGTCGTACGCAATAGGCCCCCCATAAACACATCTTCAAAAAACGGAGGCACCCATGACGCACGCTCATCATACATACGTTTCAACCAACGATTCTTTAGTAGGCCATACTTCTGAATAACTTCATGCCACGTGCTCTCGAATCCTATGGTTGTTGCTTCCTCGTTCCACACAACGGCATTCAACGCATGCCGGAACTCCTCGTTCTTCGCTAATGTATTACCAACTTTATCACCAACCTTAGTCATAATATGCCACATACAGTAACGGTGGCGAGTCCCCTGGAATTCCGTTTCAATCGCAACCTTCAAAGCTGGATCTTGATAAGTTATTACGATAGGTGGTGTACTTCCCATAGCATTCTTGAAGTTTCTAAGGATCCAACTATACGATTCCACGTCCTCTTTATCAATTAGTCCCGCAGCAAATGTCACGCATCTCTTATGGTTGTCTATACCTGTGAATGGGACGAACACGAGATTGTACCTGCGACCACCAACAAGCATCAATTAACCAACATGCAAGTGTCACAACACCACACACACTGTTACTTGCACATACTTCTCAAATTCAATGCTCATTTAACAATTAATTTTTTTATATTTCCATTTCAAAATGTACTTGCACTGCCACGTTATATACAAATGTCTACAGTTACTACATAACATGCACCATACATAACATGCACCATTACGCAGAGACACCTACCAAAATAATACTACATAACAAGCACCATATATAATCACCGCAAAACTCACAGGTATACACTTTTTTATTTTTTATCGACGTGTTTACAAAAGCGTAGTAGTCATATGTACCTGTTAGTTTTGTATGTTGCATCGAATGAAACCACATCTCCAAAAGCCCCATAGTGCATTCTTGCCCGCATATCCGCCCAAAACACCCGAGCTAATTGGTCTTTCTCGTTCACATCGTACTCAAAATACATATCTACGCAATCATTTTTCTTCTCTAGGTATTGGGATATAACCATCTGTATATCTTTCTCTTTCATGTATGCCAAAAGCTCTCTCCTTTAATTCTTGAAGTCTTGTTGTGTAGCTCCAACATTCTCGGGCCCACCAACCATCTCGGCGTATATATCATAACTCTTGCTAGCCCCAACGTTTACCTTTCCGCAATTTGTTATGAATTCCTGATGTCCGATGTCTATTTTCCTATTCACTTTCATGAATCTTTTGTATTTCTCCTCCCACAGGACATGTGTGTGTCTGTCTACAAATGTCTTTACTACATACTTCCCCTCTTTATTCAACGTCAATACAAGTCTAGCAGGGCATCCTACTCTGTTCGTCGTCCTCCGATGCTTCTGTTTTGTTGTTCCTTCCTCGATAGTCTCTTTATCTTTTGTCTCTTTATACCTTTCCCGTGAACATACCACTTGTTTTTTCATAATTTGGCCGTATTTGTTTCTTTTATCGGAACTGCGACGCACATCAAATCCAACTATGCCAGCGTAGGTCATATAGAACGTGATCCCATCTTCCATTGTGTCGAATTTCTGTCCTTCAAATGGGTTCAAGCTTGCGTCACATTTAGGTATCCAAGTGTGCGTACCACCAGGCGACACATCCATAACACAATCGCCTCCATTATCCATTTCTTCATTGCTTACAGCAACACCAACTCCTGGGAAAACTGTTACATATATATGTATTTTCAGAGTTTAGTACATGATAAATTTTAACCCACACACACTTCTAAATTATGTTGGCGTTCGCACACAAATAACCATCGCGTTTCATACCCATTTAAATGATATCTCTTGTTTTTGATTACTATATAATTTTCTGCACCCTTTACACATTTCTTCACGAACATACCATCTTCTGTTCTGGTTATTCTGGTTTAGGTAGTTTTAACGAATTCAACCCACATAATCGGCCATTACGCACATACCAGACCTCACACTCGCACAAACACCACTTTTTCCTACCAATTCCCACACGGTTAACACAAACTGTTCTCAGTCATTAGATTATTACCACATGCAAACACCCATTCATATTTTCACGATACCAAAACATGTATACATGCTGTTAGAATTTTTTTTTAACCTTCTGCCAAAAAATGTACACATGCGGTGTTCATATAGGAAAAGGACTTATAAACCACTTCATATTACATTACGCGAATATTTCCCTTCGCAATTAAAATTATTCTTACTGTTGCTATCCTAATATATAATACACGCAATCACCTAATCAACTACTCGCACACACCACACAAACCACAAACACTCGTGCGTTACACTCAGGCCACCACATGGCTTTGTTTACGATGTTGCACATGCCCTAACGTACGCAAGCACAAAATTTTCAAACAACCAAATTTTAAAAATGAAAAAATGGCACACATACCGGATGTCGCAAACGCCATGCACACGTCCCCAACCAGGCTTCTTCCCTGTTTAAGCTTTGAATGCACAAGCCACCTATGTCTTTTCCTATCTCCGGTCAGACTGTACCGTGGAACATATAGGAACGCTAGGATTTTAAATGGTATGATTACTAATTACCATTCTTAAGCAGGCTATTACTGTGCATAATAATATATTAGTATTCTTCCCAAAAATAAATATAACTACACAATTACGTGAATATCCCTATGCTTATAATCTGACCATAATTAGTTGCTCAATATCTTTTAATCTTAGCCATTAAATTTAAATGGGTGAATGGTGGTGATGGGATCTCATTATCCCATTTTAATTAGGTACCTCATGGGAACCAAAGCCTATGACATATATGCACCTACACACGTGCACTGTTTTTCTTTTTTTTTTTAGTTAGCCGCCTAGGCGACCGCCTAGCCCGCTTAGGCCCCGCCTAGGGCGTCTAGGCGCTAGGCGCTACTCTACCGCCCGACTAGCGCCTAGCGCCTATTGCAACCATGCTATTGTGTGATGATAGATTATACCTTGAGACTTCTTGTGAGTCGTTGTTATTCTTGTAGTCTTGGGTTGTGTTCCCTGTTCTTGTTGAGAGTGTTGAGTCTTGTGTTGACTATTACTCTTGGTTTTGGACTTATATATATGTATTCCGTTTCGAAAATGGCTTTACAAACTTATATCTTATCTATGTATGATATTTCACATGTATTGGTGGGTTACCAGCATTATTCGCTGACCGGGCATCGTCCCATGTTTTATATGCTTCTTTCAGGTGATGCTTAGACGAGTGCGCGGTTTAGTGCCAGCTAGTATAGTTCCCCTCTTATGTTTTGTGGCGTGTGAGCCAATTTAGATTTAGTACTCTGTTATGATGGTTTTAGATGTTGAACAATGCAGAGGTAGCCTGTGCGTTCACCTTTGGGTGAGCATGGCATAGCACCCCGTTTCCTCTGTTTTATATATATTTCCTCTTTCAGTCTTCCGCTGTGTTTGATGTTTTGGTTTAGATATCTGCATGTTTTAAGGCTTTAAATAGCATGGTTTTAGGGGGTGTTACAGTTGGTATCAAAGCCTAGGTTTGAGCCTAGGAGGGCTAAGTCTAGACTTTCTAAGTGGTTAAGTGTGGTTTGAGACCTTAAAGTGACCTTAAGAATCTAAGTGTTAGGCTTAGGACTCTAGGTTGCGCGGTGAGCTGAGTGTTGCTTTTAGTTATTTGCTTGCTTGTTGTCTTTTGGTAATCGTGTTGTTGTTGTAGAAGTTTGCGATGCCTCCTCGTCTCCGAGCGCGTACCCCGGAGACCCCGACGAATGAGCAGCTTGCTCAGAACCTCCAGTAGCTAACACAAACGATGCAGGCGCTTAGCGAGGCCTTGCTGAACAACAACCACCCCATGCCGCCTCCACAACCTGCTGGGCACAGGGATATGGGCCGTTTGGTGTCAGGCCACAGGCCGCCGACCTTCGCGGGTGAAGAAGACCCGGTTGTTTTGGTAGAATGGATGAGAGTGTTCGACAAGATCTTCACGGTTGTGGGTTGTCCCGAGGAGAGAAGGGTAGAACTGGCAACGTTCTACTTCTGCCATGAGGCTGATCTATGGTGGATTCATGAGGGTCTGACCTTCCTTGAAGAACCTGAGTTCGGTTGGTCTGCGCTTAAGGACGGGATGCGCGAGAGGTTTTACCCGGCACACGTGCGAGCCGCCATGTACGAGGAGTTCCTCCACCTGTAGCAAGGATCTCTGTCTGTGGTCGAGTAGCACAAGAAGTTTTTAGAGTTGGTGTACTTTGCTCGGATGCTCGTGCCTACGGAGCTCGCTAAGGTCGAGAGATTCATTGCCGGCTTGAATTATGAGGCACGAAAAGCTTTGACTGTGAGCAGGTCGAGTTCTCTTAAGGATGCTTATCTGAGTGCCGCGGATCTGTACCGTGTTCAACAGCTTTAGCGAGGATCTTATGAGCAAGCGAGGAAAAGGACCGAGAGTGGAGGCTCTTCTACCTTCAAGAAGCCACGACCGAGTTTTCAAGCCAAGAATGTGTCATCTTCGACCCAAGGACCCAACCGGATGGAGCAAGGGAATCAAGCTAAGTTGTTTCCGTGCCGAAGATGTGGGAAGGTGCATGTGGGCCAAGATTGTTATGGCCAAGCGTTTAAGTGCTTCTGATGCGGAGATAGGGGTCACAAGGTTGCTGAGTGCCCTCATCCGGCCAATCAAAGAGCGCTGCCGCCATCCCCTGGAGCCGGAGGAACAACGGGAAGTAGCTCGAGCCGCGGAGCAGCTGGGGCCAGACCAGCAGGGAGAGTCTTTGTGATGGGGCATTCGCAAGCGGAGACCGAGGGTTTGGTGGAGGAGGAGCTAGCAGGTAATTCATTCCTAGCCTACCCTTATCTTTTGTGCGCATCTTGTTCCTTGTTACCTTGAGTGTCGTCTTGTGTTCTTCGTTGCCTACTTGAGTTACTTGGCTATCCTTGTCATGTTTTCTTTGATAGTGATTCTTTGGAGTTAAGTGTAAGCTCTTCTTGATAGATAATTCCCTTAGTTTTTGCGGGTAAGTTTCGTTGTGAAATTAGTTATTTATCTTCGAAATGAATCATGCTTGGGCTGATCCTATAGTCTTTGCACTTGGAAATTCTTGCAACCTTTCCTTGGAGAACCCTCTAAATTTCCCAAGTATTCCTTGAAATTGAGAATAGAAAACCCATGTACAAATCCTAACTTGTGTAGCCTAAAAATCCAAGCAAAATGTTTAATTGAAACTCTTGAGTTTCGAACCCGGGCCTATTCTTTGCCAACCCAACCCCCACCCGTCGCCTTACCTGCAACCCGCCACCACCACCTGTTCGTCGACGCACCGCCGCCGCACCGTCGCTGTCCGCCACAGCCGTCGACCTGCTCCGTGCCGCGACGCCGAGAGAGAGCAGCGAGAGAGGGAGAGGTAGCGAGAGTGAAGAGGAGAGAAGGACGAGTTGTGGGCTTCTTTTGTTGAGCTTTGGGTCATCTCCTACCATGCCTAGAAGGTCAAGTTTGGCTAGGAAAGCGGAATGGGTGGATACCCATTACCTTGTTCTTGAAGGTAAAGCCTTTGACCCGGAATCTTTTTCTAATTCTTTGTTGGATATGCTTAGATTCCAAGGTTTGTTGGATGAGTTTCTCGCCATAAGGGCCGAGACTTACCCGAGTTTGGTTAAGGAATTTTACTGTCACATGGTTGTGACAAAGGATGGTGATAAGCTTGAGATTACTTCAAAAGTGAGAGGTGTGAAGGTAGTTCTGTCTGAAAAGAGGCTAGCTCAGCTTTTGAGTCTATCTGCTTCAGGAGTTGTTCAATATAGCGGTAACTCATGGATTAGTACGGATACCATGGGGTACCGGGACTATTTGAGTTATCTGTTGGGTCGCACGAGTGGTTTCACTCAAGCTTCAAGGCCGGAGAAAAAGTGGTTGTCTGCGGAATAGAGGATCTTGGTTATGTTGGTCTCGGATTGTTTGTTACCCAATAACAACTAGAGTAAGTTATTGGGAAAGTTGGAATGCACCTTTGCCTTTTGCCTCAAAAATATGGTCAAGTTCAACCTGCCAGCTTTGATGTTGCAACATATGGTTT